TTAGTAAGGTACTCCAGCAGACAGCCGCCTCAGTCGCAGAGAAGCGTAATGAGGCGGTAGGGCATTCATTTATTTGAGTGCCAACAGGAAATTTTTTTTAATTTCCCGTTTTCTTGCTTGTACCATCCCTCTCTATGTGTGCTGCGAAACTAAGAAAGTAGGAAACAATCTAGTGAAATGCAAACAGTTGATACCTTTATTTACGGAAGACCTTCTCTGGCTAATTTCACCAGTTTGGGAGTCCTTCTAGATACATCGAAGTCGATGCACACTTCATCTTTTAATACCCGTATTCCAGATTTATAGCATGCCATCAATACTCTATGACTCGTTCTATATAGCATACAGGTGAGCCCTGAGTTTGCGTCTCTAAATGCCTCAATTAATCAATCTTGACATACATGTATATTAGACACAAGGTGCTTCGCTTCTGCACTATGCCATATGTTACATACACACCAAATACAGCCCTTGATTACAATTCTTCCGGCAAGAAAGAGTTCGCTTCCATGTAGCCCAGATCTGGGAAAAGGAAGGAAATGGAAAAACAAAACAAGATCACGTTCTTGGAATCCCACCCTGGGAATCCTCTTGTTTGAGGACATGTCGGAAACCTAGGCTAGGGAGATTCCCTCTTCCCATAGCCTTGTTAGAAGTGCTCCATGGTTTGTAAAGGAGTGACCAAGAATTACAGCACTGGTCCCAGAAAAGACTACCTCAAGCCACGGTCTACCCTTTGCCTTGAAAATCTCAAGATTAGATTGTTGAGTACAAACTGACCCTCTGCTCAAAGAGTGCCTGGTGTCTACAAGGTACGTTTGCATTCATCTAGGGCGTACCCGCCGGCGAGCACACTTCTGAAGGTGCATGGGGTTTTGCGTGGTTCTGTTTATACTTCTCGGAGTTGGAAGACGCGACTTCGCTCGGATTCTATAAGATAGCCTCAGTCTCTAACTGCTCAGCACACCTTTAACCTTACTGGCTCAGGGCCGGCTTCGCTCTGATTGGACCCAGTCACCCTTACCAAGTCACCACGCACTCCCGCGCAGACAAGCAACAGAAATATGCTTTCACCTGCCATCGTGGGGTTAGACCCTTAAATCCTGGGACAAAACCGGGGTCGAGATTGGCCTGAGTAAGGTGAGGACAAAGGGGGAGAGTGGCGAAGTCTCCAAAGAGAGCTTTAGAGCGGAGCTAAGCTGCACCATCTAAGTCGCCACCTGTTAGTCTCCCGGGCTTCGGAAGAGGCTCAGGAGCGAGTCAAAATTGGCCTTCGAAGCACCTGAACTCAGAGAAGCAGCTGGACTGCGGGCCCTGAACTCTTCTAGTCCTGTGCTTTGACCGAGGCAAGAGGCCCCTGTCCTTTAATAAGTAACTCACCTTTTTGATTCGCTTGCGTGTCGCGGAGTCTTTAACTTGTGAACCTGTCCCCTGTGTTTCCGAGGTACAGACGCATGAATTACCATACATTACCCCCCATTTAATATGTGTTTAAAGGACTGAGAACCAGGGAAAATCTATTTATCGATATTTAGGGCTCATAAGAAGCGCATTAAACTGTGTGTTTAGTAGACTGATTGTCTCTCCTCCTGCTCTCCTCCCGCCAAGGCACACACGCTCAGCTCTCTCTCTCCCTCTCTCTCTTACACACACACACACACACACACACACACACACACACACACACACACACACACACGTACGTCTCACTCATGGGCCTCCCAAAGCCTCATATCAAGGAAAGCGAAACCAGAAAATCTGTGCCTTTTGGGGGCGAGTTTTGCATCAGGCTGGCCGCGGGTGAATAATTCACGTTGGAAAGAAGGCCGGGGATGATTTATAAACAACTCCCTTCCCACCACCACCCTTGCTGACCTCACAGTTGTGGGAAACACTTTGGGATGTTTTTAAGGAAGGGGCCTGGAGACAAGAGGAGCAAATGAAGCTCCCCTCACAAACACCAGCCTCCCTCCAACTCTACCCTGTTTTAAACCCAAATCATCATGACTTCGTCTCAAGTCCAGGAAAGGCTAGAGCAGGAAAGGTGCAAGGTTTTCAGGGGTCCATTCTTCTGGGGCTCAATGGCTGCACCACAGGATCAACTGGGTATCAGAGACCTTCTCCAGCGCAGGGGTGAGAATTTTAGAAAAGGCATTTCAGTGTCGGCTCTCATCCGTTTAAAAAAGGCTGGGACTGCTACGGACCCTTTGACTCTCAGTAATTCCTTTTCCAATTGCACAACCATCATTCCCCCTTCCCAACTTAACTCCACGACAATAATTAAAAACATATCCAAGGTTATTTGGGTCCCAACATCCTTGGGGTAGTCCTCGGTGCCTGGCTTCCAGATTCCATCTAGTTGAATTCATCTAAGCCCCTTGGTCAGCGATTAGTTTCCCAGAAGCTGGGACCTAGCGAGTCTGACATTCCCTCCCCGGAAATGGTTTAAAAATTTCCAAAACCTGGCTCCAGAGCCGGGGGACCCACGGCCAGCGGCGCTGACTCTCAAGATGACTGCAAGTAGGCAAGTTGTGAATCTGGAGGGGGTGGGAAGAGAATTTTTTTTTTCTCCAAATAAGATTTCCTCCAACCTTCCTCAGCCCAGACACACTCCTCAACTCTATAGGGTCCCCACAGCCTTGGCTCTACCGATTTACCTTCCCTGGACCTGGTTAACGTTGTGCGACCAACAGGCCCAACCAAGTTCTGTGTTTTTTCGATTCGAAAAACTATCGGGGGTTGAAAGCGTCCTACTTATGCCCCCCCCCGTTCATCCCAATACTTAGACTTACAAACTCTTTAGGATATTAATTTGCTTCTTATAACCCGGGCTTGGCCAGCGTTCTTCACCGCCTGTCCTCCTCCCCACCACCATACTTACATTTACAAACTTACACACACACATACTCCGAGTATAATGCCCTGGGTTTCATTAATTTTCTTTACTGTTCCTAACCAAACCAGAGAAGTTTGCGTTTTTGAAAGATTTCTCAACTTTGTATGATTACTGGGCAAGGGATAGTGGGATGGGTGAAGGTTGGGGCAGGGAGTTGGAGGCAGATGATGGGGAGATTTCGTCTTCTTAGGAGAGACTGGGGGAATCAGTTTTCCTGCCACCTGTCTTCTAGTCGTCCCCCCCTCCCCACACACAGGCCTCCCAAACACACATTCCAACCAACAACCAACACAACCATTCGAGTTGGAGGTTTCTTCGTCTAGGTCCCCCGTCCCAGGGAGCTGGGCCCAGTTTCTCAGTTAGCTCAGGCCCTCAAGGAAACCACCAGGTGCAGTCAAACTCCCTTGGGGGAGGGGCATCCCTGGGCAAAGGGTGAAACCTAGGACACGACCCCAGCTTGGCTCGCTCCGTGCTACGAATGAAACCAGGAAAGTGCAGGAGGGAGGGGGATTTACCCCAAAGAGACTACAGATTCTCCAGGCAACTGCTTTTTACCTACTAGCGTGGGTATGTACAAATGTGTGTATGAGTTATGTACAATAGGTGTATTTGCAAATCAGTGCTAGATAAAGAAATAGCCAAGTTAGGGGTGGGGTATGCAAGAACTTTTTAGCACAATACTCCAGTCATTAATGCGCTAGGATACCTAAGAGAAGACGGTTCCTAAATGTCCCACCTAAATATATGGTCCAATTTTCAGAAGGGATTTCCAAAGACAACACCCCCCATGCCAACACTAACAAAAATAAGTCAATAAACAAGCAAATAAAGAAAGGAGGGGAAATATGGGGGATAAGATGAGGTATGGGGTCACCCACAGGGCAAAAGAAAGAGATCCTCAGATAATCACTTTTAGAAGAAATGTGTATCCAGACACGGATGTTGTCGCCTCCTAAAAATGTGTATATCGAGTTGCTATTTCTGTCTTCTCCCCAGTTTCCCCTCCCGGTCTACTTTCTCCCAGGTTTCTCGGCAACCTATTCACTCAACACAAGCATTTCTGCGTCCTTAAGATAAATTACAACGCCTCGGCGTAATAGATTTAAAGTACGCCAGATTTTTTTTGTTATAATTAATTGTAAACGTGAAAAATACCTGCTGGTACTTCACTTTAGAAGAATGTAATTGGCAAAAAAAAAAAAAGGAAAAAAGAGGCGGCTGATGAATAGATAATAGATCTTTAACTACCAATAAACAGTAAGCTGCAGCCAGCAGCCTCGGGATGTGATCATAATTATTCCTCGGCGCGAACCAATGGGGATGAGGGAGCTCAGCCCTAAAATCATCCCAAAACCAAAGGCGAGCTCGAAAATACGGACAAGGTCTGGAGCCTGAGATCCAACTCACTCTCACTGTGCCTAGTCCTCTCCCTGACTGAAGCCTGAGATTCAACTCACCCTGCTCCTGGTCCTCTCCCAGACATAGCAATTAACAATCCAGGGTGGGGCATAGTGGTAGATACTTTAATAAATTACATTAGCAACAACAATAATAACAATGACCGCTAAGGCATAAACTGCTTCTACCTCCACAGTAGAGACTCTCTTTTCCCCAAAACTTTCGAAAGAAGCGTTTGTACGTGTGATGGTGGAGGGGGTGTGTGTGTGGAGAGTAGAGGTCGTAATCACCACCCAGAAGGAAAAAAAGTCTGATTTGATTAAGAGAAGCGACAAGCTAGCAGTAAGCTCTGGTTGCCCTTTGAAGGGGGTTGCACTGGTGTCGATCTGCCAACTACCTAACAGGGCAGGGTCTCTTGGACCCTCTCGGTCCCAGAGACACTTTGGAACACAAATTTGGAAAGGAGGGAGCTGGGTAACAGAGAAGGGGAGGGGACATCTCTGAGAGTTTACTCTTCGCCTAGGAGACAACATTAAGTTTTGCCCTCAGGAGGGGGATGGGGATGGAGAAATATAATAGTTTCCCCCACCCTTACCCCAAGCCAGCCCCCTTTAGCCCTCCCCATGCGTCCCATTCCCTCCTCCCCCGGGCTCAAGTCTGGAATGAGAAGCGGCGGAGCGCGCGGGAGGAATCTGTGCTCTCCTACCTGCCCCCGTGGCAGCTGGCTCGGGTTGGGAGGGGAAGCTGTGGATGGTGGCGGTGGCAGCGCCCGGCGGGGACTCTGTTGGGACCTGGGCGCCCCGGAGGGAGTGGTGGTAGAGGTGGAGGAGGAGGCGGGGGAGAGAGAGGAGAAGGTGGGGAAGGAGAAGGAGGAGGAGGAGAAAGAGAAGGAGGAGACGAAGAAGAAGGAAGAGGAGGAGGAGGGGACGAAGAAGGAGGAAGAGGAGGAGAAGGCGAAGAAACTGCAGCTGCCTCCGCCTTGGTGAGCGCTGGGAGAAGGCGCAAGAGCCGACGAGAGCAAGAGCAGCGGCTCAGGCAGCCTTCAACTCCGTTCCACTCCGGGCCCGGATCCAGCCCTCCAGGTTCCCAGCAGCTCGCCTCCCTCTGACGCACTTTAAAGAGTCTCCCCCCTTCCACCTCAAGGCGAGTAATAGCGACCAATCATCAAGCCATTTACCAGGCTTCAGAGGAAGCTGTTTATGTGATCCCCGCACTAATTAGGCTCATGAACTAACAAATCGTTTGCACAACTTGTGAAGAACCGAGTACATCCATGGATTGTCTTTGGACTTAGGGTGCCCTGCCCGCCTTTTGCAGAAGAGAGGAAACTTTTTTTTCTCCCTCGAGAAACTTTTTCCCCCCTTCTTTTCTCTGCCCGCAGCTCTGGGTCCCCCACGCTACCTCGCCAAAAAAAAAAAAATACCCCTCCCCATCCCAACCTGCAAACTCTTCTGGAAGGATTTTTTTTTCTTCTCTCATCTTTGGGTGCGTTCTGGTTCAAGATTCTCGGGCTCCTTCCAGTTGCGTTGCGTCTCCTCTCCCTCCCCCTCCCCCCCTTTTCTTTTCTTTTTTTCTTTCGACAGCACAACAAAAATATCATTTTTTTTTCCTCCCCGAAACTCGGCGTCGGAGCCAGCGCATTGCTGACGCTCCAGAGAGGGGGAGCCCCCAGGACTCGCTCGGCGGCGCAGCATGTTCCAGCCGGCGCCCAAGCGCTGTTTCACCATCGAGTCGCTGGTGGCCAAGGACAATCCCCTGCCCGCCTCGCGCTCCGAGGACCCCATCCGCCCGGCGGCTCTCAGCTATGCCAACTCCAGCCCCATAAACCCCTTCCTCAACGGCTTCCACACGGCAGCGGGCAGGGGCGTCTACTCCAACCCGGACTTGGTGTTTGCAGAAGCCGTCTCCCACCCGCCCAATCCCGCCGTGCCGGTCCACCCGGTACCGCCGCCTCACGCCCTGGCTGCACACCCCCTGCCCTCCTCGCACTCGCCCCACCCCCTCTTCGCCTCGCAGCAGAGAGACCCCCTCCACGTTCTACCCCTGGCTTATCCACAGGTACCGATATCTGGGCCACAGATTTCAAGGTACGTGCCACGTTGCCTAGGTCCCTGATCGCCTTTTCTGCTCCCCTATCCCCCTTGCTTCTCCAAGAGCCTGGCCTGGGCGCAACGAGATTAGGAAGGCGATGTTTTGAAAGGCCTTGGCATTTAACCCTTCCGCTTTTCTGGGATCCGGGATCCCGGGTTTGGAAGTCCTGCAGTAGGAAAGTTGTGCTCTTGAATGAAAGGAGAAAGAGAGCTAGAGGTTCTAGCTGCTTCCCTTTCTCCCTCCTCTTTCTCTCCCCGAAACGAGTTGACCCTTTTAGGGGAAGAAGGACGGAGAAGTTGTCACAGTCTGTAGAGGGGTTTAAAGTGAGGGGAGCTTGGGGAGCATTGGAGGGGAAAAGCCACCGCGTTCGTTGTGTGAAGATAAACGCAGGAAAAAGCTTCGAGCCAGATTGTTCTTCATCCACCCCCCCACCCCACCCCTCCACCCCAATGCTTTCTGTTGCTGCACCAGCTCCGGGGCTACATAAGGCAGCCACCCTCGACTGAGACAGCTACTTTTGCCTGGGTTTCGGTAGAAACTCTTTTACCTTGCACACCACACCTCCTTCAGTCGAAGTCTGACCACCACCCCACCACCCTGGCCAGAGTGTCTCATCACGTCGATACCAACCACCCATCGATAAAGACATTTTATTTCATTTAGATTTTTAGAGATGGAGGGAGGGAACTGGAAATAGATAAGGGTGGAATCATCTCCTTCTCTGGCTCTTGACGGCCACGTAAATTACAGCGCCCCGGAGCCACCGCAGAAAGGCGGGTTTGTTCTCGTTTATTGTTTTCCTTTCTTTAAAAGAAATTAACCCAGTTGGGAGATAAGGGCTAGTGAAGACTGTTTGGTTTTTTTTTTACAATTTCTTCTCCCTCTCTTTCACTCTCATTTTTCCCCCGGAGGGAGAGCGAGCGAGACCTCAACCGACGGAAAAGGATTTAGGTAACAAGAGTAATTAGTAATCAGATGAGGGAAAATAGCCACTTTTGAGGTCAGTCGATCAAAACGCAGTTGGCCGTTGATTAACCCTTAATGTCCCTGCTAACGGTTGGAGATAAAGGGGTATCACCCCCTTCGCCCCTTCACCCATCACATACATATTTTCCTTTAAAAAAAATGACCCGATATCTCCCAAACTCTGTTTGAACTTGACCGTTGAGTGTGGGTTTATCGTTTTGTGTGTTTTGGGCTTGGATTTACAATTCTTACTGAGATCTCTCACCACTACTCTCTACGGTTCTCCTAGTAAAGTTTGAGATTTCCCCTCCTAACTTGGCGAAATAACCAGGAACCCTCCAAAGGACAGACTTTGCAAACGGATTAACGTTCACAAAATAAAATGACACAAGCTTTCGATCACAACAATGATTTCTCCCGGTCCCTGGGAATTGGGAGCAGAAAGAGCTAGGAGAAAGGATAGTCCCAGCAGGCTGCTAAGATTAAATTTAAAATCTCCTCCCCGGGTACAACAATAGATTATCTGTTCTGTCCCCCCAACCCCCCACTATCTTAAGAACTAATAATAAAAATTAAAATAATAAAAATTAAAAACCCGACAATCGCTGAAAAAAAATGGGAATTGCAGCTTGTTACTTTTCCAGCTCGAGCGAAGAAGTTAAATCGGGGAAAAAATATATCACGTAGTCCCTTCCCAGAATGGGGGCCCCAGATGCTGGGGCCATAGTTCTTTTTCTTTTCCTAGGCTCGTGTGACAAGTTGAGAAACGGGGGAAGAAAAGAGGCAGGTCAAAGGGAGTGAGCAAGAGAGCTGAGTGAGCTAAGAGCACAACAGGCTTCGGCAGTAGCTTTGCCTTTGACTGAAATTCGAACAATCTGAACCGACCAGACCCTGTCCTCCTGAGCCGGGCTTTGGGCTAGGGCCGATCCGAGTCGTATGCCAGGCCAAAACCCGAGGGATTTGTAGGAAGTTGGGGACGGGGATGCTTTGAGAGCTGAGTGGCGTTTGGCGGTAGTGTACCCCACTTTCTCAGCTGTGGAGACTAGGCAGGTTCATCAAGTTAGCAGGTCCCAGCTTTGGGCCAGATCGAGCCGGGTTGTGGGCTGTTTACGGCCAGGCACTTTGGTTGTAGTGCTGCAGAAGAAAGGAGAGGACCAGGCCTCTTTGAGTCAGTTCGTTTTATTCTGACTTTTAAAAGATGGCATGAGTTACAAGATATTCCTCTCTTTTTCCTTCCCCCATCCCCAGGCAGGGTCGTCAATTTATTTATCGTGATCCTTACTTCTAATAACCCGATTGTTTCAGTTTTGCTCTAAGGAGAGCTGGTGTAGGTCCTGCTTTCCCCCTCTTTCTTTTTTCCATTCTTTCAGAACTCCCTGCTCCAATGAAGCAATTGTTTTGTTTTGGGGGGCGAGGGTGAGTGGTGGGATGGGAAAGGAAGAGAAGAGTTATCTCCCTGACTTATGGAAAAGGCTGCTTGGTCCCTTCGAAGCCCATCCTGTCTTGATGACAGTAACCCCTAGGGAGGGGTAAGGGGAAGAAGCCTGTGTTCCTAATGCAAGCTTTGCTGTTCCCTACCCCTCAGGAAATGAAACGAGCCCGGAAAGCTTCCTTTTGCACAATGCCTTGGCCCGAAAGCCCAAGAGGATCCGTACAGCCTTCTCCCCGTCCCAATTACTGAGACTGGAACATGCCTTTGAGAAGAATCACTATGTGGTGGGAGCGGAGAGGAAACAGCTGGCCCACAGCCTCAGCCTCACGGAAACTCAGGTAAGAGAGGCTGCTGGAGTGGCATAGAGTCCCACTTGCGGTGAAGATGGTCGATCCGTGGTGCTCAGGCATGCCAGAAAAGAGAAGGGGCAGACCTGTTCTGTTCTCCTGGTCCTAGGTAGTTTTACGGGTTTGTGTGTCTCAAATGGCTCAACTCCACTGAATGAGGCCAGCTTCTCTGAAATAAGGCAGGCTACTCTAAAATCGCCAAGAAAAAAGAATCCGGCACCCAGAGGGGACATCAAGGAATCTCGGTGGAATTCCGATTGGGGTAGCGTGGGAAGTGCGCTGAGCCTGACTTGCAGGGCTGTGGAATCTCAGAGATTTTTTAGTTCAACCGCTTCATTTTAGTGAGAAGAAAAATGAGGTCCAGATTTGGGATGAGCCGGTGCTCACATTTAGGCAGCTTGGAGTTTGGACGATCTGGACTGCCTCACGGGTCAAAAACGCTTTCCTTTTTACTTTTTAAAAAATTGTTTGTTTAGTTTTTGTTGTGTTTGTTTAAGGCTCTGAGAGCGAGGGCCTCATTTGATTTCGATTCACTAGGGAAGATTAGTGACTTTCGTGGTTTGCGGGGTGTCAAAGTGAGTCTTGGAATTCACAGAGATTGATTAGAGAGGGTTTTGTCTTGTATGTATTTATTTTAAAATCTGGTAATTCGGGCAGAGTGTTGAATTCTTCCTTTCCCGTTTCCCCTCCCCCATTGGCCTAGCTCTACCAGTCCCTGGAAAGCTAGCAAGAAGGCAACGGATTGTAATAAGGATAAGGCTGACTGGGGCTACAGGAGAATAGGCCACAGATGAGTGGTTGGTTCGTCTGAGTAACCAGAGGTTGTGTTGGCAAGAGGCAACCTAACAAATGGGGTTTCAACTCCTTTCCGGAGCCCAGAATGGCAGTTATTTACAGCACGGACAGATTACTTCACTCAGTCTGTAGAAGCAAGCTTTGCCTACCCGGGCACGGAGTGGGGTGGTGGAGTGTGCAGGGCAGGGAGGAAGAGATGGCTCTGGTAGGGTGGCTTTGGAACTGATGGCAACGGACCCTGTAATGTTGG